TTTTTCTACAAATATTTATTGCTAGGAAAGAAAGGAAAAGTCTTGCTCCCATATTGTATCAAAGTCTTGCTCCTTAATATATCAAAGTCTTGCTATCAAAGTGACATTTTTGCAAAGAATTTGTTACAAAGACTTTCAAAACTTAAGAATTTATTATAAAAACTTTCAAAATTTAAAGTTGATAATTCTCCCGAATTTGATAATTACGATAGAGACCTGCAAGATGTTTTCCTTACTTTCTCTCATTTAAAACTAATATCGCATTTCAAGCTTGAAAATCATGTACACAGATTCCATAGAACAATGAAAATATTGGAAATCCGGAGAATTCATACATAATAGATCTTTTTCATGTTAATTTAACTCTTAGGCAAATGACAAATTAATAAGATTTTTCAATACACACCTTGTCAGGCCTAGATTCCAAGATCAACATCACATCTCCACCGCCTAAAAAATCCTCGACTATGTTTATTTCGTCTGAAATCAAAGGTTACGCTCCACGATTTGTAGCTAAATCAGCTTCAGCCTGCAACTTATCATAATCATTCCGAATATGTCCCTTATGTCTGCAGTAGAAGTAAAACAAATTACTGTTATTCTTTGATCCGTCCCCTCATCAACCACCATTTGATACAAGAGTTTCCTCATCCTTCGATTTAGCTCCAATCAAATGCTTTAACTTCTCCTTTTAAGTGCAAAGCATCATAAACGTCGTCTATAGTCAAAGTATCTCATCTATATAAAACGGTGTCCCGAAACAATGCATAAGAGCTAGGCAGCGAATACAATAGGATCAATGTCAGATCCTCTTCTTCATACTTAACCTCCAACGCTCCAGATCTATAACTATTTCCTTGAACATGGCAATATGGTCCTCCAGTGACCCTCCTTCCGCCATGCGATGGGAAACAGCTTTTGCTTGAAAGCCAATTTGCTCGTGAGACTTTTAGTCATACATAACTGCTCCAGCTTCAATGACAAAGCAGCCGCTGTTTTTTCCTTCAAAACATCCTGCAGAATATTGTTAGAAAAATGAAGATGGATTTGTGATAAAGCCTTCCAATTCCTTC